CCCCCCCCCCCAAAAAAAAAAATCATCGGTGAACCAAACTGCGGCAGCTACAACCACTGTACGACGAGTACGCGGTTATTACAGCTGACAATGATGATGATGATACCTCTCGAAATAAAGTATCCTTTAATCTCCAGTGAGGAAAGCAGATAGCAATATCCTCTCCAAGGTCATTCACCGTAAGAGGTTTCATAATCGAACCTTAACTCTTCCGTTCACGGTATGTTCGAACACTCCCAAATGTTCCCAACGCTAGAGCAAAACAGACTCGTTTTTTTGTAGTTCATAATAAGAAAGAATCAAAGGAATACAGTCAAATATAATGCACATATTATCGCTCTCTACAAATTTGATTCTTCTAGTATCGGCCAAAAGATCTGAATGACTCGCGTCGCAGTTTGCCATATCGGTCGTAGGCATCATATTTATTGTCATATTCGTCATATTTACCCTCATAGCGACCGTAGTAGTTGTCATGTTTGTCATAATCATATTTGCCATCATAAGCAGCGTATCTGCCGTATTTGTCGTCGTATTTATCCTCATGATGGTCGTACTTGTCATACTTTCCGTATTTGTCATACCTTCCGTATTTGTCCTCATGTCTGACATCGTATTTACCATCGCGGCGTTCGTACTTGTCGTATCGATCGTATTTGTCATACTTTCCATATTTGTCATCGTATTCATCATCGTATTTGTCCCCGTGGTAGTCGTACTTGTCATGTCGATCGTATTTATCATACTTTTTGTGATCGTCTTCGTATTTGTCATCGTGGTGGTCATACTTGTCGTATCGATCATATCTGTCGTACTTTTCATACTTGTCATCCTCGCGGCGGTCATACTTGTCGTATCGATCGTATTTGTCATACTTTCCATATCTGTCCTCATATTCGTCATCGTATTTATCCTCGTGGTAATCGTACTTGTCGTGTCGACCGACCTTGTCGAATTTTCCGTACTTATCGTCGTATTCATCGTATTTTCCATACTTTTCGTAGTTGTCCCCATATTTGTCATCGTGGCGATCGTACTTGTCGTACCGGCCGTATCTGTCATATTTTTCATACTTGTCGTCGTACTTATCCTCGTGGCGGTCATACTCGTCGTAGCGATCGTATTTATCGTACTTTTTGTAGTAGCCGTCATATTTGTCATCGTGGTGATCGTATTTGTCATGTGCATCGTATTTGTTGTACTTTTCGTATTTGTCGTCATCTTTGTCGTATCTATCATATTTGCCATACTTTTCGTAGTTGTAATCATATTTGTCATCGTCGTACTTGTCGTACCGGTCGTATTTTTCGTACTTGTCGCCGTATTTATCCTCGCGGCGGTCGTACTTGTCGTATCGATCATATTTGTCGTACTTTCCGTATTTATCGTACTTTTCATGTTTGTCGTACTTGCCATAATCGTCATCGTGCTTGTCCCCATAGCGACCGTAGTTGGGGCCATATTTGTCGTATTTGTCATATTCGTCGTATTTATCATATTTGTCCGATCGACCGTATTTGTGGGCATTGTAACCATAGGCATCATCGTACTTGTCACCGTATTTGCGGTATTTACCATGGGCCTCTCGTCGCAGTTTACCGTACCGGTCATAGGCATCGTACTTATCGAGTTTTCCGTCCCATTTGCCATATTTGTCACCATGTTTTTCATCATAGCGGTCGTAGTAGCCGTATTTGTCATACTTATCGTACTTGTCAGCGTACTTTCCATCATAACCGGCGTAAGTATCATCGTACTCGTCTTCATACTTGTCGCCGTAACGATCGTATTTGTTGTCGTAACGGTCGTAGTGATCTTCATACTTCTTCGCGTAACCGTATCTATCCGCGTACCTGATGGGCGCACTGACTGCCAACCCAATGAGCAGGCAAGCAACTGCGACAACTGTAAGACGTCCCATGGTGTCAAGTACTGTGGCTTACAAAGGTCATCAGACCGCTTAAATACCATGTTTGACAGAGGGATAATGTACGAATCAATCATTAGCGCTGTTGCACTGATTGCGGTGCAAGAAATATCGAGCCAACTGAAGACAGTGCAACGAACATCAATTGTTTGATGAACCCATGGATTTTTGAAACGAGATTGTGGGAAATCGCGTGTTGCCGTTTTCAAGGATGGCGGACTTGAGTTTCTGCTTCTATTTATTCCAGCCCGTCTGCTTCCTAACTGCCATCAGCCTAAACAAGGACCATCAACCACTGCTATGCAGTTAGATATGGGTTGTACTGTAAGGAATTACGGAAATCTCGTCATACTAGAGCAGAAGTGCTCCTGGAAGGCCCTGTACGTGCGTTAACCCGACTGACCAAAGGCATATCGGCAATACAACCTAACTATGTTGGCCAGGATGCAAGACCAAACGGGTTTGTAGTGGGCGCCCATTGTTCTGATCATGTAGAGAACACAGTTCTTTTAAAGATAACCCATGAATTGCTGAGTGCTTTCTAAAATACTGAATCCCATTACCTGGGCCAACTTCCTCTATGCAAACTATGCCCATACCAAATGGCCAGTGCCATCTGAATGTATTCATTATAAGCCGATCTTTCGTTCATATGTAAACCTATCGATCAGGTGATTCAAACAAAACCAAATCAAGTCACAATTAGAAGTTTCAATTCAGAGTTGATTGTAAAGTAAATAGTAATTTCTGAATGTGAAGACCACGCAAGCCTTCCAGAAGCGCGTATCGCGATTTATTATCGTAATGTGTTAAAGAAAATACTGGCATTTTACAGGAGCTCAGTATTCGCGAGATGGAAGTGAATTTTCAAAATCTATGACGTGTCCCTGATGAATTAAAACAGACGGAAAATTGAGTTCTGAACACCTGTTGAAACATTTGAGCCCCATATAGGCATCCCGGGTTCCCAGTGCTGCCATGAAAGTATTCCACCAAAATTTACCGCCAATGGAATGCCTCACTGGACAGTGAAATTCGGTAATGTGCGAAAATATAAACGTAGATTATAATGATTTTTGGTTTGAGCATATACGCAATAAAATGCAACAACATTTCATTCACAAAGGTTTTGCAGCTAGGAGCATTGTGCGACTAGGGGGGCCCATTTTACACTCAACTGCTCAACTTACAGTAGGAACATGTACCGCTCACTAACTAGATCACGCGTCACAAACACTCAAACCACGTGACAATGTCTGTCCCACTTGCAACTTTAGCCGACAACTTGTACACTACAAATTCTCATCCTTCTTGTTTACGCGGCTACCACTTGCGTAACGCGCCAGGCTTATGAATTTCAACACATAAGATCAAGTTGTATTCATATTAGTGCAAGTATCAAACACGAAGGGACACCGCTCTGTTCACACTGCACACAATAAATAAGCACACAACTCGGCCCAACAAGCACGCACGCACGCGCATAGGACAGGAAGTTAACTGAGCTCCACAAGACTCCACGGATAACTACGGAACACGTGTAGCAGCTACACTGCGCGTCCAGGCCTTCACTCAGGAACTCTCAACGGTTGCCTCAAACGATAAGTAACCTTTTGGCTTATTCCACTTTTCGTATTGTACCTATATTTATCAAGGTGCACTTAACTGTTGTATTCATCATCATTCTGCTAAAACAGACATTTGTTAGTGCTTGTTACCTTCTGATAATCAACTTCATGATCTTACTACTGGAGCACTAAAAAACACAGTAAATGTTTCATCACTGAAAGATTTTTTTGCACAGAATTGGTTATAAATCTCATGTCAACTGCACCAGTCCTTGCCCAACAGAAACAAACAAAGTCAACGAAGTTTTCCTTCTGTATGCGCCGTTAATCAAATATTATTTGGCTGCTGGTCTATGGAATCTAACTGTGTCCCCAATTTCATGTTTGGAGGGATACTACAGGGGCTGCTTATACAGCTTTATACAGATTTTCTGTCGACATCTGGAAATCGCTCATAGTATTGATCGGATAGTGCTCGCGCGAAAGCAAACATACAGTTCCTGCGGACTCGCTTCACAGAGCCTTGACACCATTCAAGTTAGTGGGGCTTTGAGCCCAAGGCAACTATTCAGATATATAGTTCCTGACAATTGACAAATACAACTCGAGTGTTTGTTTGTTGCTCTTTTCGCCGAGCTTCGCAGTTGGATTGCAAACGTTTCATCACCACGCGAGTTGATATCGTCAGTAGTGACGATTTGAGCTCGATTGGTGATGAAACATTTGCAGTACAACTGCTAAGCTCGGCGGTGAACAGACGAGCAACCAAGCAGCGTACCCCAACTACCTAGATTCCACAACATTGCCAGTAACTCGGGTGTGTTGTATGGTTGCTTTTTCCTCGTCTTGCTTGCCAACTGTGCTACAAACGTTTCGTCCCCCAACAAGATGACATCGTCAGGTACTGTTGATTGCGATGATGCAATAGGTGAACAAAGTTCTCTCTCGAAATTCTCAGTATTGCCGCACGAATCACTAATATATGTTTTGCCCTATAGGCCCATTTAGGCTCAACTGATGCGAATTGATGTTAAGGCATGTTAGGGATACTAACTAATTAGACCAACTAGCACAATCTAGAAACTAATCTAACACGACCTTACCTTTTCAATGGATATTTCTTCCTGTAAATGAAGCCGACTTACCCTGAGAAGTAGACTTCAGTAACAGAGTGTTCAAACTACCAGCATGGAGGTCTCGGGTTAGAAACTTCCTAGAGTTTCATGAGGTCCCTACTGCGATAGCTGTACAGTACTACTCTGACTTTCAGCATAGATTGGCTTTACTTACAGGCAAAATCTTCGATGAAAGTCGTCGAAACTGCTCACACTAGAAACAATAGGTATGATCTTCTTTTGTGCTTTTTAAACCTCAGTATGCTCTTGTTATGAATCGCACTGAACCGATCAGGGTTCAGCTCCTTAGGAGCTTTTTTGCATGCTCTCTGGTCTATCATTTGACAAGCAGTTGGAGCGACATACTTTGAGAGCTAAGATCGACCACTAACCTCTAGAAAGACCCCCGAAACGGCTGATGCAGTTAGTGTCTCAACCAGATTACTCGAGCCAGTCATACAGAAACCCATAGTCGTCAACAGCGAGACCCCTCTCTGATACCAGACCTCGCATTGACCCCATGAAGTATCTTCACGTCTTGCTGTGGGACCTGAACTCCCGGCTGCTGACACGTTCCGAGGCCGCATTAAAACTCTTCAACCAGTAGCATGCCCGTAAAAAGGTGATGACTCAGACCTTATGGTTGTCATGGCACGGATCACGGATCTGTTCTACACATCCAATAAATTTCCTTCTAACCATAATCGTTCTTTGTCTTGTTGAAAGGTCTTGCAGGTTGTATGGCCGCGACTGGAGACGGCGAGAAGAATTTATTGCCTTCCTCGCTGTTTGTACCCACAGACTGCGCATTAGATGACGTTACATTTTGTAGCCAGTAGTGGAAGAAATATGCGAATGCTGATTATCAGTAGAGATTTTGTCCTGTCAGTGACTCCAATCTATGCTGAGAATCCTTGTTTGGAATCATCAGCAGTGCGAGCGTCGCGAAACTCAGAGAGTTTTGAACACACTACCATCTGGCCAGTCTGAACACTTAAACGTTTGGTGAGGAGTGACTGATCATCAGTGTGATTATCTGTCAAAATGGTAACCAATGGATCTAAGATACTGTAAAAGCCTAAACACGCTTTTGAAGGTTGATCATATGGCGGTTGATTGCTTTCTCCTTCCAAAGCAGGTCGCTGGGCAGGTATTCCAGGTGTAATTCAAGTCCAGATAATATGTTATCTGTGGAGCCTCTACAAGCACAACATTGGAAGCTCTTCTGGGCCTTTCTTCAAAGCTGCTCAGGGACCAGACTAAATCAAAGTTGTTGAAATAAACTATCAGGTACACTGCGCTAATCCTTTCACGGAAACACGTTGGATAGCAGCTACGAACTCCTGAGGTGACCTCATACTTTTAGTTACAGCGTGCATTTGGACGATCTGCTTTGCGACAATTCTTGTCCTGAATTCTGTCTTAGTGAGACCGAATCGTTGTACACAACACTCAGAAGTCTGCTGTCACTTGGTTCCCCACTTCATGACTGCTACCCATGGGAGTGAATCGAATCGGTTTTCTGGATTCGAAGTCATCTGAGAGGAGAAACATAACAGGAGCGGTCCTGTTAATGTGCACACTGGCCTATTCCACTTTATCGTCTATAAAGACTATTTTGTTATTTTCATTTATTTGAGGTGGGAAGTGTGTGCTTTTGTTGTTCTTCTGCCAGAGACCAGAAAACTTATTTTCCGGAAGTAAAATAACACGTAGGCATCCAGGAATACTGAGTCTATAATTGCTATTCAATAGTATCGTGTCCTCTGTAATAGGACCTACTAGTTCGTACACACTCAATGTGTCCCATTAAGTTTTCTGCTTTATCGAAAAGTGAAGTTGCAGAGTTATGGGCGTAACACGCTACTCATGACGTTACTGAAAACTCCCCGACAGCCCACCATCAGTTTCGCCTTCTGATTCGGGCTCATCATGTAGACAATTCACGAGTTTCCATCACCCTTGTGTTCTAATAGAACCTAACTTGGACAGATTTTACTAAATGTTGTATTCGTGCACAAATTTGGCTTTAACAACAGACTCAAGCGAATGCAGCTGTATCCCTCGTTTGTAACGGTCCGCTTCAACTGAACATGCTGCGCCAGGCCGCGTTGCATTTCAGTGGGTACGATATTATAATGTCGCAATAGGTCCTTGTTCAGATGTGATACAGCATCCACAGGGTTGCTGAAAATTCCTCGGTGTCGCTCCTATTGGAGCTCGTCGGGTAAGCACACACCCCCTGGTTTCCGTCAATCTCAACGATCATCTATCAAAACTAAATTCTTGTGCAAGTGAGAGTTTTCGCACA